TGCGGATCTGAACTGAGAGGGTCCCTCTCGTCCCGTGCCCATGCTCAGCCCCCTTGGCCCCGTCCCAGCTAGCTGCCTCCCCCAGGCTGCATTGGCAGCCCTCCCTGGTCGTGGGTCTGCCCCCTTCTGTGCAGCCAAAGGCACACACCTAACCTGCAGACCCCTGAGGGCCAAGCCCACCCAACACCAGCTATTCTGAGTGGTCCACGGGGCCTGCTGTGCGGTGTGGGATCCTCCACCCTGGCCTGGGTCCCACTTTCCCAAGAAGCCTTTGCAGGCCTCCACAGGGAGGGGACTTGCTCTCCATGCAGGGGGTGAGCCTCCACTCGAGAGGGGTGGGGCCCAGGGCTGGGGCTGTGGCCAGGCGCAGGTGCCTTCCTGCCCCGGAGACAGTGACAGGGTGAGAAGGGAGAGCTACCTGTGGAATCAGCCCAGCCTGGAGACAGGCACACGGTCAGACTTTAACAGTCTGCATTTCTCAGAGTCAACCCAGAGTCACTGATGACAAAGATCCTGGTGGCCATCTCCTGGCTCAGCGAAGAGCAAAGCTCTGTGCCGCTTTCTCATGAGTGTGGTGAAGACCTATCAGCTGGAAGGCTGGTAGGGAGACCCAGCCCTTCTTGCCCAGCGGGACCAGGCAGAGTCCTGGCCCTGTCATCAGGGTGACCTTTGAGCTGTGATCAAAGGCCACGTGTGATTGGGCTCCATGAGTCAGTCAGGTGTCGTCCCCGACGGTGGCCTCAGGAGTAGTGACTGGCCAGGCAGGGAAGTGGAGAGGTCTGGATCTGAGTGGGAAAAAAGTGCTGTGCTGGAGGCTGGAGGCTCACTTCCGATGGACAGCCATCCACGGGAGGCCAGACCCCTGCAGCTAAGTCCGGAGCAAGGCTCCGGCACCCCTCAGAATCCCAGGCTCGAGTCAGCCCGGCACCTGGCCGGGTTCTGGCCTGGGGAAGGAAGGCAGCTCTGGGGCGGTCTTCCTCGGGCCGAGTCAGGCAGAGGGTGATGGAGCACTGTCAACCTCGTTTCCACAGCTCTTAGACGGTAAGTGTGTCAGAACTCATGAAATGGCACATTCAGTCTGTCGACATGGTTTATCTATGCAGTGTCAATTAGATTTTGCTGAAGTTGTGTAAAAAAAAAAAGTCAGAGGCCAAGTGCAGTGGCTCTCGCTTGTAATCTCAGCACTTTGGGAGGTTGGGGCGGGAGGCTTGCTTGAGCCCAGGGGTTTGAGACCAGCCTGGGAAACATAGCTGGCCCTCATCTCTTTATTAATCATGAAAAAAAAAGAGACTATGTTCATATGTTTCACTCTTCTACTTTTTATTTAAACATTCATTTATTTAAATATTTTATCTATGTATTTTTTTTTTTTTTGAGTTGGAATCTCACTCTGTCGCCCAGACTGGAGTGCAGCTCCCAGCCACCACAGCCTCAACTTGCTGGGCTCTGGCAATCACTTCCGCCTCAGCCTTCTAAGTAGCCGGAATTACAAGCACGTGCTACCACGCCCGGGTAATTTTTGATTTATTGTAGAGATGAGGTCTCGCCCAGTTGCCCAGGCGGGTCTTGAACCCCGGGGCTCAGGCTATCCATTCACCTCAGCCTCCCAAAGGCACGGGATTACAGGCTGAGCCACTGAGCCCAGCTTCTATGTATTATTTAGTTTTAGCTAACTTTGCCTGTTATGTGCTGCTTGTAATAGCAAACATTTGAATAGTCAATGATAAGGGATTATTTAACTAAATGACACTCTATGCTATAATGGATTCATTATTCCATGGGAAACACGTGCAGCCATTAAAACAGCTTGTGTGAAAGTGTCTATTAGCACAAAAAGATGTTTATAATTCACTGTTACATGAGTGAGGCAGGGTACAAATGGGGACAGTAGTAGGAAGGGTTTTCTTTTTTTTTTTTTTTTTTGAGTTGGAGTCTCACTCTGTCGCCCAGACTGGAGTGCAGTGGCCGCTCCCGGCCACCGCAGCTTCGCCTGCTGGGCTCCGGCGATCCTTCCGTCTCAGCCTTCCAAGTAGCCGTAATTACAGGCGTGCGCTACCACGCCCGGCTGATTTTTTTATTTATTGTAGAGATGAGGTCTCACTGCCCAGGTGGGTCTCAAACCCGCGGGCTCAGGCAATCCACTCACCTCAGCCTCCCAAAGGTGCGGGATTACAGACTGAGCCACCGAGCCCGGCTAGGAGGGGTTTTCAACTTTGTTTTTTATTGACATGAAATTCGTATAACGTGACATTAACTTTTTTTTTTTGAGGCAGGTTCTCTCCCATGCTGGAGTGCAGTGGCACAATCATGGCTCACCATAGCCTCAACCTCCTGGGCTCAGTGATCCTTCCATCTCAGCTCCCCAAGTAGCTGGAACTACAGGTGCACACCACCACGCCCAGCTAATATTTTGATTTTCTGTAGAGACAAGGTCTTGCTATGTTGCCCAGGTTGGTCTCGATCTCCTGCGTTCAAGTGATCCTCTCACTTCGGCCTCCCAAAGTGCCAGGATCGCAGACATGAGCCACCGTGTGTGCCCACACATTAACCATTTTAAAGTATATAATTCATGGCCAGGCACAGTAGCTCATGCCTGTAATCTCAACACTTTGGGAGGCTAAAGCGGGAGGATGGCTTATGATTGGGTAACTGCACCCCAGCCTGGGCAACAGAGCAAGACCTCATCTCTAAATAAAGAAATTAATAAATAATAGGCCAGGTGCAGTGGCTCATACCTGTAATCCTGGCACTTTGGGAGGCTGAGGCAAGAGGATTGCCTGAGCCCAGGGGTTCGAGACCAGCCTGGGCAACTTGGCGAGACCTCATCTCTGCAATAAATCAAAAAATTAGTCGGGTGTGGTAGCGCATGCCTGGAGTTCCGGCTACTTGGAAGGCTGAGACAGAAGGATCGCCGGAGCCCAGCAGGTTGATGCTGGGGTGGCCGTGAGCGTGCTGCCGCACCCTAGCCTGAGCAACAGAGTGAGACTCCGCCTCAAATAAATAAATAATAAAAAATAAAGCATGTGATTCAGTGGCATTGAGTATATTTACAGTGTTTTCCACCTACCACCTCTCTCTGGTTCCAAAACATTATCGCCCCCAAAGGAGGCTTCCTATCCATTCAGCAGTCACCCTCCATGCCCCCTCCCAGCTCCTGACAACCACCAACTTACTTTTTTTCTCTAAGGATCTATCTGTTCAGACATTTTATGTAGCAAATAGACTCGTGGAATCCGTGGCCTTTGTTGACTGGCTTCCTGCACTCAGCACAGTGCTTCCAAGGTTCACCCATGTTGCAGGTGTCACAACCTCATTCCTTTTTGTGGCTGAGTAATAGTCCACTGCATAGATAGACTGCATTGTTTATCGGCTCCTCTGTTGATGGACATTTGGGTTGTTTCCACTGTTTGGTGTAACTAGTGCTGCTGTGAACATTTGTAGATGGGTATCTGACCAGCTGTTTTCAATTCTTTTTTTTTTTTTTTTTTTAAGTTGGAGCCTCACTCTGTCGCCCAGACTGGAGTGCAGTGGCCGCTCCCAGCCACCGCCACCTCGACCTGCTGGGCTCCGGCGATCCTTCCGCCTCAGCCTTCCACGTAGCCGGAATTACAGGTGCGCACTACCACGCCCAGCTAATTTTTTGATTTATTGTAGAGATGAGGTCTCATCTGCCCAGGCGGGTCTCGAACCCGCGGGCTCAGGCAATCCACTCACCTCAGCCTCCCAAAGGCGCGGGATCACAGGCTGAGCCACTGAGCCCGGCTTGTTTTCAATTCTTATAGACACATACCTGGGAGTGGAATTGCTGAGGGACGTGCTCATTCTGCGCTTACTGTGTTGAGGACAAGGCTGTTGCCATGGCCACAGCAGCGGACGAGCCAGGACCCCATTTTCTCCATATCTCTGCTTGCTGTCCTTTTCATGACTGTGGTTCCAGTGGTGTGAAACAGTGTCTCACTGTGGTGTTGATTTGTTTCTCTGACAACTGAGGAAGTGGAGCATCTTTTCATGGGGCTGCTACCTGTCCATCTTCTTTGGGGAAATGTTTATTCAAATCTTTTGCCCATTTGAAACTGAGTTGTCTTGTGGTTGAGTTGTAAGTATTCTTTTTTTGAGTTGGAGTCTCACTCCGTCGCTTCCGGCCACCGCAACCTCGACCTGCTGGGCTCCGGGAATCCTTCTGCCTCAGCCTTCCAAGTAGCCAGAACTACAGACTACTACGCCCGGCTGATTTTTGATTCTCGCCAAGTTGCCTGGGTGGGTCTCGAACCCGCAGGCTCAGGCAATCTACTCACCTCAGCCTGTGCTAAGGATTACAGGCTGAGCCTCGGATGTAAGTATTTTTTCTATATTCTGGATGCTAAGCTGTTGTCAGATACGTGATTTGTAAATATTTCCTCCCATTCTGTGGGTTGACTTATCACTTTTGTGACAAGGCCCATGAGTTCATTTTTGTAAAACATAGAAAAACATAAAACATTAAAAAAAAACACCTTTTTTCATTAAAAAATAACCTTAACAAATACTGTCCCAAACCAGTGGTGGCTGGAACTGTTACTGTTTTGTTTCTGAATTAACTGTGGGAATGTTTCCCCAGTTGACTAAGTTTGCTAACCAGGAAACAGAAAGCGAAAGTTTCCAATCATTAGTTCATGTTATTATGACTTCTGTGCTTCTCTTCAAGGTCCAGAAGTGCTGGATACCTAAGGGGTTCCTAGGGCATTGGGGGAGTGCCACCCTGATTCCCCAGTCCAGATCATCCCTCTGGGGTTCTGGCCTTCCCCTCTGGATGGGGGGTTGCTGCCCTGAGTCCCCAGCCCTGACTGTCCCTCCGAGGTCCTGGCCCTCCCGCTCTGCGGTTCCGATGTTCTGCCACAGTTTTGATTCTTCCACTTATCCTGCAGCATGCCTCAGGAAAAGGAAACCGAAACCGAGGCTGACTTTGACCACTGACTGGCTTGACACGCCCCCTGACGTGTAAGCTGTGCTCGGGCGCATTTATAGCAGCACACGAGCCAGCGGGCCGGACAGCTGAGAAGCAGCAGACTTGTCATTGCCTGCAAGGACCTACCGCCACAGCCTATAGCCATGGTAAGGCAGGTCTGACGATGGGGGGTGGTGGGCTCTGCTTCTGCTGTCCCCTCCCCCCGCGGGGTCTCGGAATGAGAGCAGAGCTTCTGAGACTGCCCAGGTGTGAGTGAGTGGAGGGTGGGGCTCCGGAAGAAGCCCTCGGGTGGCACGGAGGGGCACCCTACGGGCAAAGGGGCAACGGGACGGCGGTGGGAGGCTCGCGTTCTAGAAGTGATGCCTTCTGCGTCTCTGTGCCTAGGGGCCCTCTGCCGATGGTGGAGAGGACAGGGAGGCGGGAGCTTGGTCCCTGGGCGTGGGAGCCTGCCCCGCCGCCAGCACCTTGTGTGTAGTGGCCCTCAGGATGGGAGCCGGAGTCTCTGAGCCTGGGTGATGCCTGCAGGACTGGCACGTGACCGTGAAGATGCTGGCGGGCCAGGAGTTCCAGGTGCCCCTGAGCAACTCCATGCTGTTGTCAGCACTGAAGCAGCAGATCGCCCAGAAGACTGGCGTGCATGCCTTCCAACAGCGCCTGGCCATCCACCCAGGCAACGTGGAGCTGCAGGACAAGGTTCCCCTTGTCGAGCAGGGCCTGGGCCCAGGTAGCACGATCCTGTTGGTGGTGCAGAGTTGCGACGAGCCCCTGAGCATCCTGGTGAAGAATGACAAGGGCCGTAGCACCACCTACCAGGTCCAGCTGACGCAGCCCGTGGTTCGCCTCAAAGAGCAGGTGTGCCAGCAGGAGGGCGTGCAGGCCGAACTGCTGTGGCTGAGTTTCCAGGGGAAGTCCATGGAAGACCAGGTCCTGCTGGGGGAGTACGGTCTCACGCCTCTGTGCACTGTGTACATGCATCTGCGCCTGCGGGGTGGGGCCGTGAGGCAGGGCCCGAAGAGCTGAGCTGAGAGACTCCCCGTGTCTGGGCCCGATCAAGGACTGGAAATAAATATTGGTGCAAAGAGCAGTGACTGCCTCCATGCCTGCCCCGCCCCTCCTCCAGCCCCTCTGTGTGCCCCCCATTCTGTACCCCCCGATGAGGACGGGCAAGAGAGTCGGGTGAGAGACCCCGGGTGCACCCATGGTGACCAGGCCTGGGTTCCCAAGTGAAGGGACAAGGGTTTCACCGTTAGAGCCTAGTGGGATCAAAATAGGCCCACCTCCTCCCCAAATTGAAGACAGCCGTTGGGAAATTAACTTCCAAAGAGACATCTTTTCTGGAGCCCACCCTGGCCAGGTGAGTCATGGGCACCACAGGCCCCCAGGCCCCATCTGGGCAGCAGATAGCCTGGCAGGGACAAGCTGTTAGGCCCCAAAGGCCACAGGATGAGGCTCCCAGGGACCAGCCCCTCCCCCAGAGCCCCTGGAAATAGTGAGGGAGAAGTCCTCGGGTCCTGCCTAAGGGATGTGGGGGAGGCTGGTCTCTGGGCATCCCAGACCCACCTGCCTGCCTCCCTGTCTGCACTGCAGGGGGAGGGGCACGCCATCACCACTGGGGCAGCTGTGGAAGAGAGCCTGGGGTCACCAGCACTCCGCAGGAGAATCCAGGGCTGGCAGGTGAGGGCTCACACTGTCCAGGAAGAAGAGCCCAGGTACCGCCTTCCTCGCAGGAGGCATCCTTCTCCGACTCTCCCTTACCGGTTTGCTAAGTGAGTCTCAGGAGAGCCAGTGGGGTCAGCCCAGGGCCGGCGGATGAGGCACCGCCAGTCCAGAGACCATGGCCTGGGGGCACGCAGACCTCGGCTTTCAGACCCGTCGGGGAGACGCGGCTGGAGGCCCAGAGCTCCCTTTCTGGTCGGTGGGGGGTCCACATTGGGACGAGGACCACCAGGCGCCTGAGACCACTGTGTGGAGACTCGTGGGCATGCGTGCCGAGCAGGGGCTGTACTGGCTCCGGTTTTGTTCCCTGGTCCCACCTCACCCGTCAGTCGCCCGCAACTTGGCGAGCGTGAGCGCCGACCCCCGGGGCCGCCAGC